TATGTTTTTATTTCCCAATGTAAGACTTTTGGTCATTAATAAGTAGTCATTATTCAAGTAAATGTCTAGTATTACTGGATATTATTTCTCCCACTAGGTCATTATTAAGTCCTATTTAGGGAATAAAAAAGTTTAAGTACTACATTAGGAAAGTCATTATGTTTTAATCCTAATTAGTGCAAATTTCACATATTTTAATTCTTTAGAAAATGAGGAAAAAGTGGACGACTTGAAAAGAAAAATGAGAACAATGGGCCAATGAGGAGGGACGGCCACCCTAATTTCTCCAAATTTTTAGCACCAGTCGCTCAATGACTGCCACGAGGTTAGGAAATAGAGTAAGAAATCTAGAACTTCATCTTCCTTGGACAATACTTCCAGCGAAAAATCGAAAATGGGAATCGGCACCTTAAAAAACTATGCAAAACGCTTTTTGGATCAAAATTCGCGGTGGCGCTCCTCCGCCTATCCAGGTTCAGGGGTCTCTTCTCAGTCGCAATGTCTACAATTATGCCGTGGTTATTACTCTGGATCTCGCATCATGCAGCTGAGTACGTCCAGGGTACCAAATGCCCCATTTTTAAACGTATACCGGATTTCCCTGAAGTCATATTCGTCGTCTTCTAATACAAAGAGGGGATTTTTTTCTTGGTACTTGGGTAAGCTCGAATCACGTCCTATTCTCACGAAAAGCATATCTTCTGCTCTCATATACGCTGCTGCAGACTCCACCTCCCAGGTTCAAAAAAAAAAAATCTTAACCAATTTCATATAATCTTCTGATTTGAGTACTGTTGATGCTCTGGTACATACCTACTAATCATTTTGGGTTGTACCATCATCATTTTGATGTAAAATTAGAGCTCTGTTGGTTTGTTTTTGTCAGATTACTACAGCGTCGCTTTCGGATTCCTTAGATATTGAAAGGACCTTGCGAATGGCTAGCTTTGGGCTACTAATTTTGGGACCAGCTCAACATGTTTGGTTTAACTTTCTGGGGAGGATATTTCCAAGGCAAGATATGGTTACTTCCTTGAAGAAATTGGTGATAGGGCAGCTTGTGTTAGGACCTTTTATAACTGGGACATTCTTCACTTTCAATGCAGGATTGCAAGGTTTGCCTAACTAATTTTAATCCCCTCTCCCTCAATACGATCTATAGTTTTTCCTCAATTGTCCTCTAATTAGAGTTTAAGTTCATTGTCTCATTAACTGAACAGCAATACATCTAGGCGATTGAGTAAAGTCCTATTCAGCCTGTTTTTTTAGTTACTAAATTGGAAGGTGTGCAATGGTTGAGAGGTTTTTTCATGCTGTTGGTGTATATTCTTGTTTTTAAAGAAACTTTCATGTTTGTCAGGAGGTACAAATTCATGCAGATCACCATCACTTGCACACCATACCCATTTAATCATTTATGTACTTGCATTCACGAAAGCATATTTATTTAGACATATAAAGAATAAACGCATGCATAGTGATATAGGCTTGATGTAGTAACTAGAAATTATGACACTTTGTGAGTTGGAAGAGTATGATGTGGATTTCTTTTGAATCTTTGCTAGAAATGAAGAAGTCTTAGCTTTTATGGAGTGTTGTCCAACACTTCAAAGCAATATCTTTAATTCAAATTCTTGTATATAAATGACAATTCCTGTCCAAGTAAATTAAGACAAGCAAAAATAATATGGAGTGGGATAGTGATGATGATGTTATTATGTTAAAAGTCATGTCATCTCATGTGAATGATATACATGCCAAAGGTTTTTTGGATTCAATTGGATCCATATCTAGAGCCTTCAGCTAAATTATATTATCCCTTTCTCTTTTAAGGTCACCAAAATTTTAAATATTGGATGTCCTTACCGAAGTCTTCCACATAAATTACTGATAAAAAAAGATAATTTGCTTGTTACTTTATAGCCCTAGGTCACTAGATTTTATCTGGATTTGAAAAAAAATAAATTATCCATTTCTCTTTTGAGGCCACCAAGGTTTTAAATAATAGACACCCTTCAGCTTTATTAATAATTACACAATGTTCTTACTTGGTCTGAAGTCGTCTTCCGCATGAATTAGCGATACAAAATTACTCCCTCCTTCCCCCATAGATCTTCCCATTAGCCCTTTTTATTTGTCTTCCATAGATCTTCTCATTAGCCTTTTTAACATTTAAAATACTACAACTACCCTCACTTTATTTATTACACCTCACCCATCTTATTTAATATACTCTACCCATTTTCATTAAGGATGTTTTTGTAAACATTTATCTTTTTTCAACTCTCCTTCAAAACTACAAATAGTCAAAATGAGAACATTTTAGGGGGACGGAGGGAGTATTTAGCTTGCTTCTTTTCTTTCATAGCCCTAGGCCACTAGAATTTGTCTAGCATTGAACATTAAATGCTCTTTACTTGAGCTTGTCTTTTTCCCCAATCTCACACATTACACACACTCTCTCTCTACTTTCTCTCAATGACAATGACATTGTTTTGTTGATATTTACCCTCATCCTTTAAGCATTTTACAAAAGTACACAGTGGTCTTTGTAGTGGTGTATCCAAGATTTGGGATGAGGGGGCAAGATTAGTCCATGGATTTGGAGGTAGTGCTAAGGAACATTTTAAAAATACACAATAAGAGATTACTATTTTTTAAATAACAAAAAATTAAGGAAAAAAACCAACAATTATCAAATACTCCATCAGGCTGATAATAAGATTCTTTAATTGATGAGAGTCATGAGACATGATTATTAGGAAAGGTGAGACTATGTGGTTGTCCTATGTGCGCAGACAAAAGAGAAACAATATAAAGAGTAAATTTCATAAATAGTCCTTCATAACAAGGATTTTTTCCATTTATAGTCTCTAATTCTAAAAGATATTATATTCATAGTTCTCTATATTTGAGAACCATTCTATAATCAATACTTTGACCCAAATAATGTTTTCCACGTACAGTCCACAAAGGACTCATCTTGGAATAGTTCTCAAATATTGACCGAACATAATATCTTACAATTGGAGACTATATAAATCCTCTATTATAAAGGACCATTTAAAGAATTTACTCTAATATAAGTCATACATTTCCTTCTTAAAAGGAAACTAGAACTTTATTTGGGGACAAACTAAGAAAGTATTGTAAAATCTATTTTCTTCTGGGAGGGAGCACCAATTAAAACATTAATTAAATAATCTGAAATTAATGCAACGATAGAACTTGTGCCAAAAATCTAATACTTAGCATCAATTACATGTAGTAATTAGTTTAAGTAATATAGCATGCAAGTTTTATTGATAAAATAAAAATAAACAGTGAATTCCTAAAAACATCCTTAATAACATGAGGGTTTCCACATATAGTCCACTTTGGAAAATTGTTCTTATTCATGGTCCTTTATATTTAAGAACTATTCCACAATATGTTCTATGAGCACATTTCGGTGGTCTTCTATATTTGGAAACTATTTCGCGATAAGTCCTCAAAAGGACTTGTCATGGAATAGTTTCCAAATATAGAAGACTATGAATATAATACTTTGCCAATGCGGACTATATGTGGAAACCCATATGTTATGAAGGATGTTTCTAGGAATTCACTCAAAAATAAATAAATAACTGAACTTAGAGTTTAATGCACCGTTCCCCCCTGTGATTTCCTAAATGTTCACCGGTGCCCCCTCTGTTCCTAAAACTTACTCCATCCCCCCCACTTGTTCCAAAATCCTACTCCATTGCCCCCTCCGTTTCTAAATCCGTAAATTTTAACGGAGCGTGAAGGAAACACATTTGATATGCGTTTGGTAGAGTATTTTCTCAGCTTTATTGCACCATTCCCCCTGTGGTTTGCTAAATGTTCACCGGTGCCCCTCTGGTTCAAAAAACTTACTCCATGTACTTGAAAATTTGAGTGTGCACCATCTGCCATCTTTTTAAGAAAGCCAACAGTATTTAAAATTAAAAAATCATAAAGAGTCTCCATTCTGTAAATGAAAAAAAATTAAAATATCATCATAATTTGAGTTTTTTGGTCAAAGTGTGTAACACTTTGACCACAAATTAAATATAATTTTATATAATTATAATTAAATGATAAAAATTTGATATATCAAACCATTTTTAAAATAAACCCAATTTTATTAAATTTACATTATACTCCCTCCGTCCTAAAACTTTCCACAAATAGTCCTTTTTTTGATCTTCTATCACGTTGGTGTTAATTTGAGGGCTAAATCTGTAATTTCACAATGATAATATATATTTTTTGTCATACATAATTCCAAAGGCTGTTCCGTTTGCGTCGTTTCTGAATTACAGACGCTTTCTACTACAATCATAGTCTACAAATGTGATCTTTCGTCAGAATCCTAGCCTACAATCGTAGTCATTATTTTTGTGTTATCCGCTTAACCAATATCAGAACACGTCATTAGACATAATGTTAATGTAAAATTATACTTTTAGCCTTTAAATTAACACCAACACGGTAGAAGATCAAAAAAAGGACCATTTGTGGAAAGGTACCCTTAAAAAAAGGACTACGGGGGTAATATTTGATAATAGAGGACTAGAAATGGAAACCCTCCTGTTATAAAGGACCAATTATGGAATTTACTCTTTATTTTGAGTGAAAAATGTTCTTTTACCTGGTTGGTAAGTCTAGAAATTTGTGATTCCTGTGTTGGCGGGCTAGATGCAACTGTGTGGTATAACTGGTTGTGCCGGTTGCTTCCTTGTCCTGGTTGTGCTTGGTTGCTTTGTTTTGGTGCATTTCTTGTGGCTTTACAACTCCTTTTATTATGTCCACCATCCCCCCAAATTGAGCAATGCAGTGTTAGTCCTCTCCTAGTAGACTTCTTTTCATCTTCATGTTCTTCAGGTGTCTTTCTCCTCTTCGTTTTTGGCCTACCAGGTGCCCTCTTCACAGTAGGAGGGAGAAGTTGTGCATAAGGGGTTCTCACAAAGTCATGTGGACCAGGAAGAGGGTGAATGATATTAGCATACACTTGATTGTAAGTCTCAACCTTATAGCAATCATCAACATAATTCTCAACTCTCTTCCTAAAGGTATTCACACATGCCATTGCGTGCACACATGGGTAACCTGTGAGCTGAAAACATCTACAAAACATCTACAAGTACATTCTCTCTTATTGAAGTGTACTACATGTGTTTCCTCACCTCTTTTCACCTCATACTCTTCCTCACCTCCATAGGTAGGAAATCATTTTGCAGCACTTTCATTCATTCGGTTCATCTTCCTCCTGATACTGGGGCACACTGTTCCAACATAAGTTTTACTGCCTTCTCTCTTCACATGAAGCCTGCTCATGAGCTTTGACCTGATGTTTTCACACATGCTCACAATGGGTAGCATTCTAGCTTCTCTAATATAACTGTTAAAAGACTCAGAAATATTGTTAGTAAGGGCATCACATTTGATATATTCAGGGAAATGAGACCTAGACCAATATTTAGCTGGGATTCCATCCAGGTACTCAAAGGCAGATTGTGTGTTCCCCACTTTGGGATCAGCTCTCTTGATATCCTCCATTATTTCTTGGAAGTCCTTAACATGTGCTGTTGATGCAGCTCTCCAAAACAACTGTTTCAACTCCAACCCCAGAAACTTATTTCTAAAATTTTGATATAAATGTCTCACACAATACCTGTTATGAGCTAGAGGATACTCATACTTGAACACTTCCATTAACCCCTTTTGTCTATCAGATATATAACACCAATTTTTATCATTAGGATGTCCAATTGACATATGTAACTCTTTCAAAAACCAGGACCAATGTTCATAATTCTCTACTGGCACAATCGCAAAAGCTAATGGAAACATATTGTCCTTAGAATCTCTAGCTACTGCACATAAAAGTTGCCCACTAAATGGGGACTTCAGGAAACATCCATCAATGCCAATAATTGGCCTACAACCAGCAAGAAACCCATCAATCAAGGCTGCAAATGTAAAAAACATTTTTTGAAAAACAGGCTGATTATCTTTGTTTCTATGTATGCCAATTTTAACCACACTACCAGGGTTGTGCTTTAGAACAGTAGCACCATAGTCCCAAAGTTTTTGATATTGTACTCCAGCATCACCATGTATCAACCTAAATGCTTCTCTTCTTGCTCTTTGGGCCTTTGAAATGCTGCAATTTACCTTCACATTACCATAGATCCACTTGGAGAGCATTTGTAGTGGCTCACCTGATATATCCTTCACGTGCTCCTTGATTCTATTACCTATGTACTTACATGTTGCAGCCTTGTTGTTGTAGCACCATTCACAATCGTGGATTGTATTCAAACTTTTAAT